AAACCACAGATCAACTACATTGAACACTTTGGTCATGTCCCAAAACGCCAATCCTTAAAGCATTAAATCAAGTCCAAAATCTATCCGAATACCATCAACTCAATAGTCCCAAATTTAATCGTCTAAATCAGATCTGGGTGAGAGTTTGACTACAATCCATCCTGGGATAAATCCTGCAGCTGCACACCTGTGATACCAGAAAACAACTTACCTTCTTCTAAAATACAACTGCAGGGCAGGCATATGATAAGGTGCGGACATTTCCATTCCAAAAGAGATAAAATGGGAGCTAGAAGGAATCAGCAGCCTGAATCAACTTTGAAATCCGTGCAGGCAAACTCCATGAGGTTTCAGTTCTGAGGAGAATCTTCTGTGGCTCAGTCTTCAACCTCTGGGCCTGTTGTTCTAACCATAGATCTTCCCTTCCTTTTTGTTGAAGGGTGGAACAGGTTGGAAGCTGAGCTCCTTTATCAGCCTGTGTGTTCTCATTGGATTTTTGAGAATCCAAAATTTTTATTTCATTTTCTGTCTCTGTTTGTAACGAAAAATTTATTCTGACGCTTGCTAACATGGTGAGTAAGACTTCATGCAAGACTCTTGTAACAGGGATTTTGCAGTAGGAGAGAGAAACGGGGCTCACCTCCGAATACAGGAAAGACAGCTGGAGATTTATAGCCAAGGAGCAGAGTGAGGGGGGCATTTGATGGGAAATACCTAAGAGGAGACGTGCTTTGAACAGGAAGGCATATAGTGCTTATGCTGGAAGTGTACAACATTGCATGTTGGGTAAAGGGGAAGGGGCAAAAAAGCATCTATTTCTCTCCAGAGGGAAGTTGAAACCAAAAAGTGCACTCAGGACCACGAGGGGGCACTCAGGAACTACTGAACTCCTGTCCTCCTGTCCTCACAAAGGGTTAAGGGCTGGTGTCCAGTCAAGGGTTTTTATCTCTACACTCTGTAAACCTCTTTCTGACATGCGGACAGTACAAACAATTTCCTAAAAGCTGTGGAAACACAGAGGTGCCCTCCCTTTTTAGAATATACTCTCAAGTGTAATAAGACAACTTCCCAAGGACCGGGAAGTAGGATAATTTTAACTTATATAACCATGACGATAACTCTATGAATTTAGATGGATATTCATCTCCATTTGATACGTGATTAAAATTAACCTTAAATAAGAGCATTCTTACTGCTCTCAGTTATTCTGACTAATTATGCTATTATTTCACCTTCTTTAAGGTTTTCCCTTTATGTCGATGTAGAGAGATTAGGTATACATGGCCCTTGTGGTTGTTGAAAGCCCTCAGTCTCTCCATCAGCTCCATGTCTCTCTCTCAAGGCTTCTCAGTATCTCCAAGTTCCAGTGACAGGAAACAATGGTCTCAACACTTCAGTCCTGTTGGTCTTCTTGAAGGTCAGGGAGCCAGAGCACACTCAGGGCGAGGGCACCAATGTCAACATTTACACGGGATCCACTCTTACAGGGTCTGCAGCCTGTGGGCCCTTTTCCAGGTGCATCTTTGTCTCCAGACCCTCATGCTCATCCACCCCATGAAGAGGAGAACATCCCCCCTCACTCCACCCAGCTGCTCAGGTAGCTCAGCATCTGCAGGCTCAGGAGAGGGACACACTGGGGTCTGGGACTGAGGAGATGGAGGTGAGGTCAGGAGTCTTCTCCTCAGCATCTCATGATGAAGATGCAGTGGAATATTTCCACAGAGCGCACATGGTGTGGAGATGCTGCAGGCCAGGTAAGGATGGATCATGTAATTGTGCAGAACTGACATCTATTTTGAAATAAATTTAGGGTCAATTTTGAAATAATGAATGTTTGGAATATATACACACCCCTATGTTCATTGCAGCATTATTCACAATAGCCAAGATTTGGAAGCAACCTAGATACCCATCAAGGGACGAATGGATAATAAGATGAGGTCTATATACAAAACAGACTACTAATCAGCCATAAAAATTGATGAAGTCATTTGTTGTCATTTGTGACAACATGGTGGATCTTGAGGATATTAAGCCTAGTGAAACAAGTAAGAGGAAGAAAGTCAAATACTGTTTGCTCTCACTCCTAAATAGAAGATAAAAACACCAACAAAGACATAGATACAGAGACTGGATTGGTGTTTACTAGAGGGGAAGGGGGTGGGAGGAGCGTGAAAGGGGTGATTAGACACTTGTGTGTGTAGATGGATGGTAATTAGTCCTTGGGTGGTCAACATGATGTAATGTATACAGAAATTGAGATAAATGATGTACACCTGAAATTTACATAATGTTATAAACCAGTGTTACCAAAATAAAAACATAGAGGGTAAACTGTGGCAGGGAGAGCAAGGAACCCCATGTGGCAGTTATATTTGTAATATCCAGAATCTGGAAACAATCCCAATATCAATCAGAAGTGTAATAGACAAATACATTGTGGTGTAACCATTCATTGGAATGCTTCCTGTCATTACAATGCTTGACATACACACCAAAATGGTGGTATTCACAACCAATGATGTCGAGTGAAAGAACACAGACAAATACAAATAAAATGCACACTGTATTATCCATTTATATACATTTCAGTAAAGGAAAACTAATCCAAGTTAACACCAAGATCAGGAGTTGACCATCTATAAGTTGTCTTAATGGAATACGTGGGAATTATACCTCCTTAAAACTATTACAAAAGAGAACAGGATAGTTAGGAGAGAAAGACAGACTGAGACATTGATAATGATCCATGATATTGTCCTCTTCTCTACATGAAGGAGGTCAAGAGAGGGTTCACACTCAATAGATTCCTCCACTTCTCAGGGGGATTTGGGGAGGGAGGTTTTGGGGAGGATGCTGGTATGATTGCACTATTCTCTCCACACCACTTCAAATTTCTCTTTTGTTCTCTGCTGTGAGTGTCAGGTAAAAGGATGGATCCTAAGAAATTGTAATATAAGTTTAAACCTTTATGTCAGAAATACTAAGCACCTCATGGGAGGTATTGCACCTTCACACTATCTGACAGAATTGAGGTAACCAGTGAATGCAGCTCCACTGCCTGGTGGTCAAGATAGCCCACTCGTTCTACATCTGTGTAACTCTACCCCATGTGGATGGAGTGGGCAGAGGGGGAGGACCTTGCTAGACTGGAATTACTTCCAGTGGGTATCTGCATCATCCCTTCCAAAGGTGGAAATTTGGGGGTAAAATCCATGTCAAATCAAGAGAAGGGGAATTGGTGGCTGAGGGTAGACACATGAGTGGATGTGTTACACAAGGAGGAGACCCAGTGCTATGTTGGTGCCCTGAGAGAGGCACAGAGCAAGAGGACATTGTCTCTTAGCACAAGTAAAGGTGACACCACAGGGTGAATCATCATTTCTCCAAGACCATCACTGATTTTAGAACCAGACTCAGCTGAATGGAATCCAGCAAACCTGAATTGGGAGAAAACATGGTCAGGTCAATAATGGTGAAATATATCACTGTGTGATGACTGAGGGGAATTCTAGCAACATACTAGGGTCTTTTAGCTCTAGCATTTTTTATTTTTCAGTTTACTTTTACTACAAAGGAAATCCTCTGGGAAGAAATTTCTGAGAGCTGCTCCCCACAAGGCCATGGGACCCTGTGTTTTACAGTCAGCCGACTATCAGTGTACCATGATAAACATTCACGACTGAAGGCTGAGACAATTCTCCAGTTATAATGGAGAAAATATACCCCTGCATGCTCAGCTTGACACAGCGTGCTGTTCACAAATTCAAAAACACAAGCACAGTTATTCTCTGGGTGGAAATCTATTAAGCAGAATAAAATAGATACCAACTTTATTTAGTCTTCCAATGCAGAGATTCAGTGTGTTTCTCCGTTTTTTACATACTTTTTAAATCTATCATCACTGTTTTTTTTTTTTTTTTTTTTTCCAAAAAAGCTTCTGTCTTGACATGAGTACAGACATGTTTGGCCGCTCCATTGACCCACAGCCACCAGCACAAAAAGAAATATAAAAGCTGCTTTCTGCGTGGTGGGAACTAGTCCTGCTCCCATGGAGATAGTTGCAATGTGTAAAAATTTCAAGGCCTTTCGGGTGCCGCAGCCTGGGGCAGACTGGCCATCTGTGCCAGGCTGGGACTATAAGCAAGGCAAACAATGCATGTACACAACTGCTGGGCTGGGACGACAGCTGGGGGGCGGGGCTCAGTGCACATATGCCACTGACAACCATTTGTGTGAGGGAACACTAGATGCTTGCTCTGAAAAAAGTTCTGTAATTGCTTACTCTGGAAATTACTGATGCTATAAAAAACCGCTGGAGACTGAGACCTGCTGAGAGTTCCACCTGTGGAAGGGACGCCTTGCCCAGCCGTGTCCATTGACAGGACTCTCCCGGCAGTGGGCCGTGTATGTTGTGAGTAATTGATTTGATGTGAAGTAATTGATTTGATGTGTTCTCTTTTCGGTCAACCTGGTGTTTTTCTTTCCGGTTGATTTGTGCCATTTCCCTTCAGTCGATCTGGTGTTTCCCTTTCCGATCCATCTAATGTTTTTTCCTCTCATTATATGACCTATTCGAATCTGCTGCTATCTCAGCCGATGTGGATGTTTTCCCTTTCCAGTCGAGCTGGTGTTTTTTCCCTCTTATTATTTGACCTATTCGGATCTGTTTGTGGACTATCGCCTTTACTATCCTCTATATAATAAAATATACCTTAGGTCCATTTGTTTGGAGTGGAAAGTTTCTTTTATGTCTCCGATCGAATCCCCTAACCTCTCATAACAGCTTCATAAAGAGTATCCTCTCCCATTGAGACCAACTTGCCTTCTGGGTTAAACAGAGAGATACCTTATAGGGACCCTGGAAGGATTTTGCACCCTGACCTGAGTCCCTCCTCACTTATAAGAACAGGGCTCCACACATGCAAATTTCCCTTCAAGCTCAGGGTTAAAATCCACTCTTGGGTTGTGGGAGCTCACAGCTCTCTTCTCAGACAGGGCTGAGGTCTCTGGGGAAGGCAGAGCTGTGGTCTAGAAGATGAGACTGTTGGGTTTTCTACTTTGCCTGGTGACGGCTCCCCAAGGTAGTGTCTCAGATGTCAGACCTGGGTCTATCGGGATGGTTGTGACTGCCCGTGACTGACAAGGACTGATTCTCTTTGTCCCCAGGTGTCCTGTCCCAGGTGCAGCTGCAGGAGTCGGGCCCAGGACTGGTGAAGCCCTCACAGAGGCTGTCACTCACCTGCACTGTCTCTGGATCCTCCATCACATCCAGCAGTTATGGTTGGAGCTGGATCCGCCAGCCTCCAGGGAAGGGGCTGGAATGGCTGGGAAGTGGTTACTATTATAGATCATCGTGGAATACAGACTACAGCCCCTCCAAAAGGGCCGCATCTCCATCACTGCTGACACGTCCAAGAACCAGTTCTCTCTGCAGCTGATCTCCGTGACCACTCAGGACACGGCCGTGTATTACTGTGCAGGAAGCACAGTGAGAGGAAGTCAGTGTGAGCCCAGACACAAACCTCCCTGCAGGGAGACAGGAGGGGCCGGGGTGCACGGGGGCACTCAGGAGCACCAGGGGACAATCAGGACCCACTGAGATGAGCCCAGCAGCAGGTGCAGAAGAAGGCTGCGATGGGTTTCTAGTTAGAATCTGTGGTTTCCTCTTCCCGCCCAGGAACTCCACCAGAGACCCTCTTCTAGGTCCTATTTTGTCAATGTTATGTTTTACGTTGCCTTCCTAAGATAATATTATTTTTTTCTAAGTAATTATGGTGTGTTGTTTCCCATTATTTTTCTTCTTCTTGATGTAACTACATACAACCCTAAGATAACCATACTTTCCAATTTGAGTCTGAAATCTTGGAGCTTGGTGAATGCCCTGAGAAGTCTAGAGGATTTTAAATTCCATGTAAATTGTTCTTTGAGTCTTTTGTTCATTTGCCCACGAGGAAGGAGGGCCCACACACTCCAGCATTGTGAGCGCTGCACACGTAAGTTGACAATTGTGCAATATGCACTGTCACAGACTTGTAATGCCAGAGTGCCCCCATATCGGGTACACAATGACCCTCAGTATTCAGAGGTCCCATATGTGAAAAGTCACCTCTTCACTAAAATCCATTTACTCCCCAAAATGAAAACTGTCATTGTTTCTGCATCATTCGTGGACATCTACAGTGGGGACAGCATTGTGAGTCACTCAGCACACACGTTCCCAGCTGAGGTCACACAACGTGGTCTCTGCCTTCTTGTTTCAGCTCCATCGTGAGCTGAGGAGTTGGCTGCTTGTCCTCAGACAAGTGGCCGTGAAGAGCCTTAAGGAGAAAATGTCTATGATAGACACGCCCCATCCAGACATGAGTTATGCTGCCCTTGGCCGTGAGCTCAGTGCTAATGAACCAAATAGAAACCACATCCCCACAAAGGGAAGACAACACTCACTGAACTGTCTGTGAGGCCGCCCTGAGAGTCCTAAGGTAACATCTCAGGTGTGTGATGAAGCTACGGAAGAGACGGAAATGGGGCCAAATCTGTGGATCGTGAGGTGATGACCACACAGAAGTGCAGTGGGCAGCACTGAGTGAGACTGAAAGGTGAAGAAACGTACGGTCGTGTCACCCCAGGTCAGGACAGTCTTCACCCCTTTTGGCTGGTGCTGGCTGGTTCACACATCTCAAAAGGTGAAACAGTGAGAAAAATGTCAAAATTGCAGCTGAGGCAGGTTCTGCAGGTCAGGAGGCTGTGGAAGAGTTGTTGAAGTGTCTGCTGAGAGAGGAACAAGAAAAGGAGGACATGCAAGAGCCAGTTCCTAACCTCCAAGGACACTGGCTTGCTTTACACGGGTGTCGGCAAGTGAGCACATTTAATGCAAGTGGCATGCTGTATGAAGAAACTGCGGTGACCAGAGGCTGGCAAGAGCCTCACCCTGAACGTCCACCAGGAGCAACAGTTCAATATTCACTAATTCAGTGCTCACAGAAACTCCACAGCAAAGGACCAGTGTCAACAAAGAGAATGAACTGTACACTACACTTTGTGCATTCTGTTTATGTAATAGTGAAAATCATTTTATTTCCCGCATCTCATTTTCCCCGTCATAAAAAGGAAACATAACATTCCCATGCAGAGCTAGTGACTCATTCCATTTCACTTAAATACAATTTCTGATTGTTTTCAACATAAGATCACTTCATGAAGCCACTGTGTAAGTCAGCTCTCACTGTGATGATGACGTAAAGGAAGGAGACCTCCAACCTCATCACACACACCAGCCTGCATTACCTGCCACCTGGTCTGCAGCTGCACTGACTCTGCAGCTCTCAGCTAGGGTGATCCGGGCTTAGCTTCAGGCTGCAGGGTAGTGCAGGGTCTGCCTCCTGGGATTCTCACTCTGGATTTGGCACTAAACCTGACCACGGCCCCACAGGGTGGTCAGAACTGCAGAATCAGCGAGTGGATTCTGGCTCCACGTGGACTCTCGGCCACTTCTGCTCATGTGTGTTACCAAAGACAGTCACCTAGACACGACATGATCAGAGGATGGAGGGAAGGAAGAGGGTCACCCTGGAGGAAGTCCTAGATGCCTCTGTGCCCCTGCATCTCCCTCTCCGGTGTGTCTTCTGGATGGGTTTTGACCCCAAATCTCAGAAAAGATGTTGGATTGAAATATTCATGAGATACTAAAGGAGGGCTGTGGCTCTCTGGTGTTGATACTTGGCATGGTTTCAATCTTTTTAAATTTATTATGGATATTTTGTGTCCCGATATTTACTGGGAATAGATTATTAACTGGACACGGATCCCAGGACAGGACAAGGACAGAAGAAGGGGCAGCTAGGCAGGGCAGTGTTAGGGAAAAGGCACTCCAGGTGTGGGGGGGTCCATGAACCTGTGGGAACCAGGGAGAACCCTGTGAAGTACGGTCTCCTTCTGAGGGCGTATGTCATCAGCTCACGGAAGAACCTTTAATTAAGTGGATTGTGACTGTGTGGAACAGAAGACGAGGCTCCTAGATTTGAGAGCTCAGAATGGGGGAGCATGTTGGGGTTGATGTGGGACCCGAGGCTCACTGTGAAACCATCACTGGTGGCTATAGGTGACCCAGCACACACAGGTTGTTCCTGATGGGACAGTGATGCTGGCGTGTTGGATAAAAGCTTCTCTGATGTTTGTTTGCCCTGATCAGGGGAATCGTCCTTCCCCTTCCCTAAACTCCAAGTGGAACTCCCAGATGAAGCAGTTGACGTGCTGTGTGTGTAGCCCTGCTGGACTGGCTCTGTGATGGCCAGGATGCCCGTCACTCCACGTGCCCCTTACCCAGGTCCCTGTGTGCACTGTGACCAGGGGCAGCTTTGGCTTGGACACCTGCCTCACTGCTGCCAAATCGGGCAACTGTCTGATGATGTAGAGCATTTGTTGTTAAGCTTCTCCTGTGGGAATCAGAGATCATGAGAAACTGCAGTGATTGACAGAGAATGGGGAAAAGTAAAGAGGGTTTTCCAGGAACTCTTCTAACAGGGTGGAAGTGTTTAAACGGTGATTAAGGAATGTGACCTATAAAGGAGATGCTGATGGTGTGGACATAAGTTCTTAATGCAGCACTATCAGAGGGTGAGTGGACCAAGAGGAGGCCCTTCTGTTTCTCAGGTTTTTAAGAAACTTGTAAAGATTGCATTAATGTAAACGCCAGAAGTTTTATGAGGAGAGATTTTAGAATAGATATTGCAGTGCTTCTTTTTAAAGTTTTCTTTTTGTTCCTAATACATAGAAAAACAACTATTTCCTTTTTTACACTTCATACCCAGTTTTCAAAAATACCTTACTAATTCTTATACATTCTACATTTTATTATTTTGTGGTGAGAAAACTCATGTCACATCTGAATAATGAGAGTTTTATTTACTCCAATAACTTATTTATTTATCCTTGTCTCATTGAAAATATTGAATGGAAGGCATGCTGAGCCATTCTTGTCTCATTCACCCTCTCTGTGGAATGCTTTCATCATTTACCATTAAATGAAATATGCCTTATTTGCAGATAGTCTTTATCTGAGTAAGCAAGACTTCCTTTTGAGTAATCACTGTGAGAATTTTCTCTTGTTTAGGAAAATTGGATTGATTGAATTTTGAAACTTGATGACTTTCACATTGTCTGAATAAACAACACCCAATTTTACTACATTACCTTCCACATATAATTGCATTTTGTTAGCCAATATTTCATTAGGAAGTCTGCATATGTCTCCATCAGACACACAGGTCTGTAATTTCTCATTCTTATGACATATCTGTCAGTGTTTGGATTCAGAGTAACGCTGGACACAGGAATGTTCCCTTTATCATGCCTCCAACACAGGTCTCAGCGATGATCTGACCAAATGTGGAGGCCATTCCAGGTGGACCGTTCCCAGGGCATCAGGGGGTCCCTCATCCCTGGTACCACCTGTCCCTGCAGGAGGGGACACAAGAGGAAGCAGCATAAAGGACAGGCCAATCTTTGTCACAAGGATGCCTCAGATCGTCCTCGTAGATATGGTGAACTGTCTTCACGCACTCCACACACGGCAGTGAGAGCAGTACAGAGAGGCACCTCAGGGTGACCTCACCCTGTGCTGTCGTGGAAGAAGATGACAACCTGAGCTCAGGACACTTGGAATCATGTGCTCCAACCCCGACCGTGTACAGATCTGCATTCCTTTCATTCCAACCTAACTCTAACCTCATGAAGAGGACAGTGGTTTACAACCCCAACCAATGTCCTGTCGGGTGACCATTTCTTCTGGAGGAGTTTATATTTAGTGTCCTTACTGGATTTCATTGTGATAAGGGTTCATACCATGAAGATATCAGTGTCCATCTTAGGAAAAAGGAAGGGGTGTTGGACAGATAACGCCTGAGCATCCAGTCCCAGGAATATTTTCCACCCCTCCTCCTCGCAATCCAGGGCAGAGGCGTGATAAGCCCCACTGGGCAGCTCACAATGGGCACAGGGGGAAAGACGTGCAAAAGCGCCCCCTCCTCTGCTCATGAACAGCAGACCCTCTCCTGTCCCTGCAGATGCTGGTGAGGAGCCCTCCCCCTCCCTGTGTCCTTCCTCCGTGTCCACACCATGGGGTCTGTGCTGACCTGGGCTCCCCTTCTCCTCACTGTCAAAGGCAACGTCCCTCCTGCATCAGGATCAGCTGAGACTGCCCGACATGGGGCTGTCCTCAGTCTGTCTTCTCTGTGTTTGGAGGTGTCCTGTGGGAGGTTCAGCTGGTGGAGTTGGGGCAGATGTGTGACAGAGCTGGGTTTGTTCTGAGATGCTCCTGAAAGCCTGAGGATTCACCTTCACTGACTGGAGCATGCACTGGATCTGCAAGGCTCCAGACAGGGGCTGGAGTGGGTGGAAGTAGTGAGTAAAACAAGCAGAAGCAATAGACACCCTATTGCTCCTTCAGTTCAAGGAGGATTCACCATCTCCAGGGACAACCCTGCGAGCACAGTCTCTCTCTAAACGACCAAACTGAAATCTGAGGACACGGCTGTGTATTACTGTACTATTAACACAGTCAGTGACACTACTGACACAGGAAGTCAGAGTGAGCCCAGACTCAGAGGCAAACCTCCCTGCAGGAGGGGCTCAGGACCACCAGGGGGAACTCAGGCCCCTGCACTCAAGGACCATCACAGCGGCAGGTTCAGATGGATGTTAAGGGCTGGTTTCGTGTCATGTTTTCCTTTTCATATAACAGTTTCCTCAAGACAACCTCTCTGGATTTGTGATTCTGTGCTTACCTCTGTGTTCTCTGGTTAGAAAACCCTAATGTAATAGAAGGAAATCATTCTCACATGGACAAAAGGCAGAGAGTCTCTTACAGACCCTCTTGTGCCTAAATGCCAATTCATTATCAATGCTTCTGATGTTAGTCAGCTAAATCTATAAAGGAGGCTCTGTTGGACTCAACAATGCAGCATAGGACAGCTCAGCGTTCAACCAGCCAGCAAGCAGCAGCATAAAGAGCAGGTTGCACATCACACAACAGAGACATGATGAATCCACAGCCAGAGAAGAAAGACCCTGGTGGGGGTCGCTGACTTGACACAACGCTCATGGCACCAACAGCAGTTGACACCCTGCAAAGGCCGAGGGACCCCCCCCAGGACTTGGTGTGGGTGTCCAGGCTGATGACAAACACACACTAAGGGAATATGAAACATCTATGTTGTTTATGATTGCAATTTCTGGGAAGAACAGGGCAGGCCTTTCATCATGTCAGTTACGCTTTCATAGAGCCAGGAAATGAGGCCTGCTCAGCGTTTCAATTATGGTTCTGTGGTGGGTGCAGGCTGACGGATTCCACTTACAGGAGGGGCTCGTGTGTTCATCACCCAGTGACAGTCAGAGTGAGTCCACATACAAGTTCCCTGCAGGGAGACAGGAGGGGCTGGGCTGCAGGCAGCGCCCAGGACCTCCAGGGGGCACTCAGGACACCAGGGGGCACTCAGGACACCAGGGGGTGCTCAGGACCTCCAGGCACAGAGTCCTCCCCAGAAGCAGGTGCAGAGAAGGTTCAGGGCTGGTTTCCTGTCAGGGTCTGTGGCTTCCTCTTCTAACAGTTTCTCTGGGATCCTCTCAGGATTCATGGTTCTGTGCTTACTACTTGCATCTCAATGAGAGAAGTTTGTTGTAATATGAGAAAAACTTTATCACTTGCATAAATGCAGAGTGGCACCTGGAGAGGCAGAAATGACTCTGCCAGAGGTCACCAGGATCAGAGTCCTGAGAGAACTCAGGGGACCTGCATATTCTTTCTCATGGAGACTCAGAACAGAAGCCTCAGTGGAATCCTCTGAATAGAGTGGACTTTGGACATCCGGTTACAGCCAAGAGAGAGTCTAGGCCAGGGTCAGTGACCTATAAAACCTAATATATTTCATACCTGACCCTCCTCCTCAGGTGCAACTGTGCACATCAGACTCACAGCTTATCTGGTTCCCTCTTTCTCTGCTAATCCACTCTCTTCCTCCCTGGGCTTTGTTCCCACATCTCCCTTTGCTCCTTCTTCTTCCCAAATAGAGGATGTGGTTTCTGTGGTCTAAATCCTGGATGCAGACCTTTTACCTGGAGCTCAGGTGTGTCTCAGGTTGTGGCCCCTGCAGCACCTGGGAAAGGCTGATGGGACTTTCTAGGTCTCCACTGACCAGAACCCTCCTCCTGTCCTCTGTGCATGGACTCCTCTGGGATGTGTAAGTGATACCAAACCGCTTAGTCTCAAGTTCATGTGCCCGATGCCGAGCAAACCAAACACTGAGACTTCGGTGCTTGGAGATGGAGAAAGATTTATTCACCTTGGCAAAAATGAGTAGGTGGGAGCCTGGGTTCACTCAAATCCACCTCCCCAAGAACAGAAAGCAGGGGGGGTTTACAGACCTTGAAAGGAGGGCCTTCAGGGAAACAAAAGGGTCACTCCCAATAAGCCTCAAGGCAATCTGACTTCTGGGCTTCAATAGCTGCTGAGTGCTGGCCATCTGATGGTTGCAACTTCCCTGAAGGCATTATCTTTCTCCTGCAAAATAAGCTCACAAATCTTTTAGAAAACCAGCTCACAAGTCCTCTGGAAAACAAGCTCACAAATCCTCTAGACCCCTGCGTCACACCTTAAGTTAAACAGGAAAAACAGCAAATTGATTTAATAGGTAAATTTCCCCTCAGGTACTCAGCTTCAATCTCCATTGTCTTTTTTTCCCTTCCTCATTCTTGTAGGAAGTGGGGTGTCAATCCTTCTAGCTACTTCCTGCTAAAAGGTGGTGAAGAGGGGGAAACTGAGGAAGAAAACTTTTCAACCTGAGATTGAAAATACTCTTGGATATCGGGCTATATTTTGCATTTTGCATTATCAGTTTTTGATATTCCATATTTGATTTAACTCAAATTTCCAGAATCCAAAATGCAAGAACCCAATTCATTTTACTTATCCGACTGTTTGGTGTCGGCTGTCTTAACCTGGAACAGCAGCTTAAGGTCTTTCAGTGGCTCACAGGACCAGTTTTTCTCGTTTCGGTTTCTGAGTGCCCTGGTCATGATGGGGAAGGCCTCACTCGGGTGTGAAGAATCCATGGTTTGTCTGTGGCCAATTTGACTGATGAATGGGTGGTCAGGAGGACTTCACAGGGCCCGGTCCACTTGGCAGTTAGTTGATCCTCTGATCCCTGCTCCTTCCAATACTTAAGGAGAACCTAGTCACCCGCCTTGATGTGGTGGAATGGAACAGCTGACAGGAGCAGGGACCTGTGAGAGGCAAACACATGAACAGAAATTAGAAAAAATTTAAATGCTGCCTGATTGCTATTTCCTTCTATTGTAAATACTCTCCCACCATTGGTGAAGACAAGAGTGGTCTCCCAAACATCACTTCAAAGGGGC